TAAATAAATAAATAAATAAATAATAAATAAATTTCTTTTAATAACTTTCTCTTTTTGGGGTGGTGGTAAAAAATTCAACCCCCTCATTATTACACAGTTTCTTAGACCCTTATTGTTTGATTACTAGATCCCTCAAGGGGGATTCCCTGAACAGGCTGTATACTTTCACTGTCCGTCCGTCTGTCCTCACGCGGCTCTTCTCTCCGCAGCTCCCGTCTGTCTCCTCTCCAATGGCAAGCTGCCCATGTGGGCAAAGAGACTGGTAGGTCGCAGGGGATTGTCGAGCTGCCCCATAGAGAGCAGGGAGGTTTGGGGAGATGGAAGAGAGCCCAGCTACTAGTACAGGTAGTCCTCGACTTACGTCCACAGTTGGGCCGAGAATTGGGACGAGTTGGGAATCGAATCGTACCCAGTCTTACAACTTTTTTTTTGCCATGGTTGCTAAGCGAATCATGCCCCAAATTTTGATCACGTGACCATTAGCACGCTGGGACGCTTAAAAGTGTGAAAACAATCTTCGGTCGCTTTTTTCAGTGCTATTGACGGTCGCTAAACGAATGGTTGTAAGTCGAGGACTTCCTGTAAGAACGAGCGATGTGCTGCTTGGCTCCGCTGGGCCCCGTCCCATTCAGCTGCCCTTCACCCACCTGGCCCTGCAGGTGTTGGGACTGGCAGGCACGGGGGTCTCGCCCATCCGGAGGGCCCCTGCTGGGAGAACCGATGCAGATGGTTGCTGGGGGGGTTTTCTCCTGACTGCCCCCCCCCTCTCCGGGCGTCTCCCTCTGTCTCCTTCCCAGCTGGGCGAAGCAGACCATTCGGAGAGCAGCGCCTTTCACTCCAGGGTGAGCTACCAGCCCCAGGGCCGTTGGGCCGAGCGGGCGGACAAGGAACCCATCAAAACCATCCTGGAAGCCGACTTGAGCTACTTCACCCCGATTCAGAACCGCAGCACGGCCGAGGCGGACCTGGCGCAGTGGAGTCTGGACCGGCTGGTCATGGAGGTGCTTCTCGGCGGGAGAAGGTGGGAGGGGGCGATTGGTCTGATTGGCTGAGTAACACCAGCCCCACCCCACCCACCCCCCATTCACTTGAGAAAGCAGCCGATCCCTCTTAACGTGGTTCGGAAGGCCCATTTACCCCGTTTCCCTGAACATACGACCCAGCCTTCTTTTCTTTTAACCCCTGAAAAAATGGCCACGGCTTCTTTTCAGGGGGGAGTCTAATTACTGACACCTCGCGGCAGTGGCACCGACGTGCCGCACCCATAATGCAATACGCGACCCCCCCCAGCGCGCATGCACACATGACAGGCGCAACCCCCCATTTTTTGCCATTTTTTCCGCCCTCCCCAGGCTCCAGAGGCTTTATAGGAGCCTGGGGAGGGTGAAAACAGCTTCCCCCCTCCCCCGGAAGTCCTCTGGAGGCTTCAGGAGCTTCCCTGAAGCCTCCGGAGGGCAAAAAACCCAGCCCTACGGGCAAACCAGAACTTCTGGAATTTTGCTTGTAAGGCCGTTTTAAGCCCTCCGGAGCCTTCAGAGCCCTAAAGTGACTTCCAGTTTGTCTGTTGGGTTGTGTTTCATTGCCCGAAGCCTTCAGGGAACACCCCTGAAGGCTCCACAGGGCTTAAACCAGCCCTAAGTCCGTTCCTGAACTTTCAGTATGCCCAGAGGGCTTGTGTCAGGTGCTGCTTCATTTAATAATCAGGAAAGGAAACCACTCAACTCCCATTTGTTTGAAATCAAGTGTACTTTTACAAATTACAAACGAATAGTAGCGAAGCTAAGCTGAATCTGGTTAATTAGGCGCGAAAGCATAGAATATCATGTATAGTTCAATCCCCTCCCCTTGGCATCCCCAGTCCATAGTCCAATTATAATTCACCCAACTGTCAGGTGGGAGATAACTTCAAAAGTCATCACCAGGACGGAATGCCGGACAGTTAACCTTGGCGGGAAACTCCCTTCCTCCACATGTGCAATGAGATGGTCAGGTCAGCGTCTAGAATCTTCCTCCAGCACATAATGATTCCCCACCCAAAAACCAAGCCCCCCCCCCCCTTACAATGGCAGCCGAAGCAGCAGCAAAGCAGAGGCTGACATATTCTCCCTATCTTTGATATTTGTAGATTTTCCCATTTCGTCAGATCCATCGCAATCTGCTGTTTAAGTTTATGGCAGTTGGTCTCTTTTGAGTGCACTGCATTTTGCGATTAAATATATCCCCAAATATTTAACCTTATTCGTGACTTGAATCTCCAAGGCTTCTGCCAATTCTTCCCTTTGTCTTGATATATTCTTTGTCAAAATCTTCATTTTATCTTTATTTATTCTCAAACCTGCTACTTTTCCATATTTCTCTATTTTTTCTATCAATTTAGATGCAGTTTCTAATGGATACTCTAAAATGAAAACCAGATCATCTGCAAATGCTTTTCATTCCTTTTATTTCTTTGTCTTCTCTGATGTTTCAATTTAAAACTTCTAATGTTAAAACAAAAAGTAGAGGGGCTAATGGGCAGCCTTGTCTCATCCCTTTCTTCATTTCAATAGAATCTGTCAGTTTTCCATTTCTGATCATCTTTGCTGTTTGTGATATATAGTTTGAGTAAATTTCTTATCAAAGCCCA